TCAAGGAGGTGGAGGTTCAGACCAAGTCTGTCAGTGAACTGGTCAGCAAGAAGAAACCAAAGGTATGAGCAAGGGCCAAACACACAAATGGGGCTGGGGCTGAAGAGATTGTAACGAGCAAAATTGATCAGGAAAATGAAAGATCTGGGGATGCAAAGTGGTGGGAGAACCAGTTTTGGGGAGGTTTTCAGCCCTAGAAGTTGGTGCAGCAATGGGGAAATGGAGATACAAGTTGTGAGGCTGGATATGAGTCAATTAAATCCTACATTTAAACCCATCAGTTAAACTCCCTACAAGAGCTGGCCACTGCGTTTGTGTCCCTGTGAGGTGCCTTTAGGACAGTAAAGGTCGTGTCAGGTGATCTCAGCTGGGCATGGAGCTGACACAAACCTCTGTGACTGTCAGCTCTCCATGTCTGGGGTGGGACTGGGAGATGCTGTGGAGCTGCTGGGTTGGGGCTGGTGGACTCATGTGGACTCACAGAATCCCTGTGGTTGGAAAACACCTCTGAGGTCATCAAATCCAACCATTAGACACGTTCAGGTGGACACTGCAGCCAGACACGAGTTAGGTGACACCATCCATCCTTCAGGGCTGGTGGCACCTGCTCGGTTCTGCCCTGCCCTGGCCCCCCACAGCCCCTTTTCCCCCACAGGCAGAAGGTTATGCTGATGGGGACACAACCCTCTACCACCGCTTCACCCTCATGGACTTCCTCAAGGCTCCCAACCCCGTGGACTTCCTCTCCAAGGCCAATGAGGTGCGTGCCTGAAGTGAGGGGCACCTTGGAGCACAGAGGGATGAAAAGATGGAGCCAGGTGCCCCTGTGCTCGTGGAGGGGAGGCTGGGGTTTAACACCCCTGTCCCTGTGCCCTGCCCAGATCACGCTGGGGGACGGGGAGCTGGAGAACCACAGCTCCACCACGGAGGAGCTGCGCCAGTGCTGCAAGGACATCCGCGTCCTGGGGCGCAAGGAGCTCAGGTAATGGGAGGGACTGGGACAGGCAGACACACCAGCTGGGCCTAGGGGGGGTCTCTAACAGTTTGCCCCCTCCCAACAGAGCCCTGCTGAACTGGAGGACAAAGCTGCGTCGGTTTTTGGCCAAAAAGCTGAAGGAGCAGGCAAAGGAGCTGGATATCAAGTAGGTGCAAACAGCAGGGGTGGGATGGGTGTGTGCCCAGCACAGCTGCTCTGAGCTCCTTCCTTTTGGCAGCCTGAGCTCTGGTGAGGAGGAGGAAGGCAGAGAGGAGGAGGAGAAGAAGGTGAAGAAGATGGTGCCAGAAGCTGCAGCTGATGAGGTGGAGAAGGAGGAGGAGGAGGTGGAGCTGGCATTGGCAGAGATGAAGGCCAAGGAGCTGGCAGAGTTGAAAAGGTAAAAAGATCTCGGGGAGGAGAGATGGGGGAGCACGGGGGGCTCCAGCCATGGGGACAGAGGTGGGACTGTCAGAGCCTGTTCCTCTCACAGTGGGTGGTTTGTGGGTCTGGGGGCCTTGGGCTCCTCTCCTCCAAGCAGATGAAGCTGGGGGCCCCCTTTGTCCCAGGGTTGGGGACCCTCCACAGGGGATGCCAGTGCTGCCGAGGGACATGTGGCACCACTGTGGCAGTGGATGAGCCTCTGGGGTGTGTGTGGCAGTGTGGCCTCGTTCCTTCCCCTCTCTCAGAAAGAAGAAGAAGATCCTGAAGGAGCAGCGGAAGCAGCGTGAGCGTGTGGAGCTGAAGATGGACCTGCCTGGTGTGTCCATCGCTGACGATGGTGACACCAGCATGTTCTCCCTGCGGAGCATCCACAGGACCCCGGTGTGTGGTGGGGGAGGCCTGGCCTCCCCTGGGAGCTCCCCAGGGCCATCAGGGCTGGGACGGTGCCTGACTTGTGCCTTGTCTGACTTGTGTTGCAGCTGCTGGATGAGTTGTCCCGGGGGGACATGGCCTCAGCAGACACCCTCCTGGAGATGGGCCCTGGGGACGATGACATTTATGTCTCAGATCATGAAGAAGACGACGATGTGTCCCTGGACAGTGACCTGGACCCAGAGGAGCTGCTGGAGATCGAGGCCCGTCAGCGCAAGCTGGAGCGGGAGAGGCGGGAGCAGGGTGGGAAGAGGTGAGAATGGGAGAGGCCTCCCTGGAGCAGGAGCTGCCGTTGGAGCACCTCCAGGATCCGGCAGTGGGCACCCTGTCCTGGCTGGGGGCACTGATCCTGCTGCTCCTTGTCACAGGGCGAAGTTTAAGCAGAAGGAAGAAGAAGAGGAAGAAGGGGAGGAAGAGGAGAATCCCCTGCTGGTGCCCCTGGAGGAGAAGTCAGTGCTGGAGGAGCGACAGACCAGCCTGTGGTTTGGGAAGGTGAGTCCCACTGGGACAGAAATGGTGGGGCAGCCTCGGCCCCAGCAGCTCCCCAGGGCTGCCCTGTGTCTGACCCTCTGCTCCCCATCCCAGGACTCCTTTGCTGGCATCGTGGATGACGCAGATGAGGACCTGGAGCTGGGGCAGGCCCAGATGTTGGCTGAGAGACAGCGCGAGTCCCAGAGAGGTGAATCACTGGGGGGGCACAGAGGGACAGTCCCACAGCCCAGTCTGGGGCTCTGGATCCAACCACGATGAGGATGCTGCCTTGAGCAGTTTCATGGAATGGTTTGGATCAGAAGAACCTTAAAGGTCATCCAGTTCCAACCCCTGCCATGGGCAAGGACACCTTCCACTAGGCCACAAGCTGTTCCCAGCCTGTGTTGTTAAGGACCTGTCATTAGTGCAGTGTTAATGAGCAGGATCTCTAGAGGAATGGTCTGCAGTGGGGTCTCCCTTGGCCCTTTCTCACCCAGTGGTTCCCATTCCCAGACAAAGCAACAAAGAAAGGGCAGAAGAAGAAGCAGGTGCTCCAGGAGGAGGCTCCAGCCGAGCCCCCACCAGCCACAGATGCAGCACCTGGCACCGGTGAAGCACAGGATGAGCAGAGCAGTGACGACGACAGCAGCAGTGACGAGGAGAGGTGAGGGCTGGGAGGGGGGTCAGGATGTTCTCCCCTGCTCCAGAGTCCTGGTGAGCTGGGAGAGGAGGACCCCAGCCCTGACCACACTCCTCTCCACAGGCCACCAACAGCAGTGAGGGGGAAGCGGGGCCGTGTCGAGCCGTGTGGCTTTGAGGTGGTGCCCATTGAGAACCCAGGTGAGGGGGAGGCCCTGTGGGTCCCTCTTTAGGGACAGGAGGCAGGGCCAGGCCAAGCTTTAACATGTCCCTCCTGCAGTGAAAAGAGCCCGTGTCCTGGACGCAGAGGGCCTGGCCCTCGGCTCCGTCATCGCCACCTCCAGAAAGGCCCGGCGGGACCTCATCGACGACTCCTTCAACAGGTACCGGAGCTGTGGGGGCTGCGGGGGTCGTTCTCCAGCAGGAGGGGGTAGGTGAACTGAGGTGGGGACCCCTTGTCACCCGAGTGCCTCCCTAGGTACTCCTACAACGAGGAGGAGGGGGAGCTGCCCGAGTGGTTCACGGAGGAGGAGAAGCAGCACCGGCGCAAGCAGGTGCCCGTGGACCGGCAGACGGTGGAGGCCTATCGGCAGCGCTGGCGCGAGATCAACGCCCGCCCCATCAAGAAGGTGGCGGAGGCCAAGGCCCGCAAGAAGCGGCGGGTGAGTGGGGCTGTGGGGCCAAATCCCTCTCCTGGGTGCTTCCTCCCTCCTCCAACCACCCTGTCCCTCACCCTCGCTGTCCCCACAGATGCTGAAGAAGATGGAGCAGATGAAGAAGAAGGCGGAGGCCGTGGTGGACACGGTGGACATCTCGGAGCGGGAGAAGGTGGCCCAGCTGCGGCGGTGAGTGGCCAAGCTGAGATCCAGCTCCTTCCCGTGGTGCTGGGCTGGCTGGTGATGCCATGTCCCTGCAGCCATGGCGTGGGGACAGCTCTGTGTGCCACCCAGCCAGGCTGCATCTGGGGTGGCAGAACAAAGAGGGGTGGCCCAGCCTGGGCACAGAGCCCAGAGGACGGGTGGGGCCTAATACTGGTTTTAGGGCCAAAAGCCAAACTGCTGGAGCTGAGTTGGGCTGGACACTGGGACTTGCTCTGACCTTTCACCCTTGTCCCACAGCATCTACAAGAAGGCGGGGCTGGCCAAGGAGAAGCGACAGGTCACCTACCTGGTGGCTAAGAAGGGGGTAGGACCCCGTGTGCGCCGCCCCCCCGGCGTCAAGGGCCAGTTCAAGGTTGTCGACAGCCGCCTCAAGAAGGACGTGAGGGCTCAGAAACGCAAAGAACAGAAGAAAAAGCGCCACAAGTGATGTGGGACAGGCTCTGTCCCCGGCGAGGGACTCTGCTCAGGGCTGGCTCCTGTCCTCTACTGCTGTCCCCTGCCCTGGGGACAGGGCTGGCACTTGGTCACACACTGCTCTTAGCCCTTAGCCCGTGCCTTGATGTGACAGTGCCTCCTGCCCTCCCCTGGGGCAGGGAGGGTTTATTTGGCCACATCTCCAGTCTCACCTGCTGGCTCTGCTGAGATTCACCCTGTGGAGGTCACGGGAGCATCCACACCAGCCCTGGCTGTCCCCAGACAGGCTGTGGCTCTGGGGGACATCCCTGGGCCATATTTGTCACCGAGGGGGCAGGACAGTGGGTGCAGGGAGTGGGTGGGGCAAGGAGCAGGGACCCGCGAGTGACAGCAGTGTGGGCAGGGCTGTTTTCTACACACACATCCCCATGTATTTTCAAGCATTTTTGGGTTAAAACCTCCCTTTTTTGAAAGGACACCTCATGGCCCCCCTGAGCCCCCACTCACCTGCTCCTTCACCACCTCATTAGGACACTGGGGTGCTCCTAATGACATCATCACCCCCCAGATTTCCCCACCCCCCTGTTTTTACTTACCCCCAAAGGTGGCACAAAATGAGTGAAAACTGCCCTGGTCAGCAGCTCATTGCTCTGATGCATCTGGACATTCCTCCCCTCAAAACAGAGGGAGGGGGTGACTTTGTTGTCAACATGCACGTTGGAGTAAAGACTGGTTGAGACCCAAGGTGGATGTAATTTTATTTCACACCATCTCTGGCTGTTCTGATGAGTAGGGAGATTCATCATCATTCAAGACTTCACCTTGTCATCTAAGTACTCCATACAAATACAGTTAGTAAATGAAAATACAGATTTCAGCACATATATAACGTTGAAATTCACGTTGAAAACAAACAACGACGAGCAAATCTGACCCCTGCATAAAATACCATTTTCCAGTTTCCCACTGTAGCCAGATCAAAGCAAGAAATAGCAAGTTATGCAAGCCAAGTCATTCCTAGCTTGGATATATCACTTTGCCATCAAGGAATGCCTTGCCAATCAAAGTGGCCACTGCCACCCCTTTTAAATTTGATTGAATTCTGTCCATGTAACAAGAGTAGAATTTGATCCTTCTGTTGGAGAGGGCTGTGCTAGTGCTTTGGTGATAAACACCCTATATGCTGAGCTACTGAACACTGCAGTTTACAAAACAGCAAGTTTGGATTATGCTTACTCACTAGCAACCAGGAAAAAAAACACTTTTGTTTCACAGGCTGAGGTGAACTGAGCTGAACAGTAATAAATGTCAAATCTACAAAATTATTGAGAATCATACACAAATGGAGAGGGCAAATGTAACAAACATTATCAACATGACACTACCATTCATTAGTAAAACTCTGAGAAGGTGTAATGACTGAGCATTATAGAGCATTTTGGTTTTATTTGATTACAATGTCTTCAAACTAAAATTTCATTTAGTTGCAGTATGAGACACACCATTAAGTTGAGCTACTGACCTCAGGTTCCCTTCACAGTGACTGGTGATATGGTTGTTAAAATTCAACATGTGACCCACCTAATCAGATGCTGAGGTCTAGTTCTGAACACGTTTATGAGAGTTCATGTGAGTTAAATGACCCAAATGGTTATTGCAAACTGCTTCCTTTACCTGACTGGCAATGAATGAGACACTGGGAGCACAGAAGGAGATCACTGAGGAGGGATGCAGTCTCCAGGTGTCACAGGAAGGCCACTGGACTGTGACCAAGCAGCATCACAGATTTTTCCTGTGTTCTGTTTTATACTTCAGGAACAGTCCAAGATCTGTGCTGCACAAAACCACGTTTCAGCTGCTGTTACACCCTCTGTGACATAAAGATCTGATCCTTGCTTCATGAAAAAGCATCTGCATACATGGAAGACAATGTAGATTTGCAGGGAGCATGCTGATAAACATCACTAGGGCAGGGATCTCTTTGGCATGACAGTTTAATCTTCCTGCCCCTCAAAGTCCTATTATGCTACCTAAATTGGATCTGGACAGAACAATTATGCAAAAAGGATCATTCTTCCTGAAAGTGGCAAAACCAAATTATGACTTTACTGTAAAACAACTTTCTCAGGTCAGCAGTCTCGAACACAGTTTATCAGCAGCAACTCCTGTTTCTTCAGCTCTTAAGAGAGGCAATCAGAGTTCATTTTTAAAAGTTTGGCAGGTAAATTATCTTCCAATTTCACCTCCAGAGCTCCCGTACTTGGAGAGATCCTGTGTAACTCGAGGTCACTGGCAGACTGAGGCAAAGCCTCAGCACTTATTTCTGAGGCTTTCAGCTGCATCCTGTCATCCCTGTCTTCACCCTCAGAGCTGGGACTTATTTCTTGAATTTTCAAGAGATCTCCAGTACTGAAAGTCTTCTCTGTGTTACTGGAACTCATTCTCAGGGCTCTTTGTGGAAGGCTTTCCTTTCTTGAGCTAATCTTCTGAAGTTTAAAAGGGAGTTTGTCCTTCTCTCCTGCAATATCAACACAGTCAAGCAGACAAGCCTGTTCTCCTCTGGTTTTGTTATTATCAACGGGACTGTTGAAAGGAGATGACAGGGACAGCTTTTCCTCTTGCTCTTTAACACTGTAAGGAGGAGTGGGCACTTCAAATGTAGCATGAAACTGAGAATAATCAACACGGAAAAAACCATTTTCCAGAGACATTACAGGGAGGAACCTGTGACCCCAAAGGACTTCATCTTCTGTATACGAGGTCCTAGCTTGACACGTCATTCCTGTGGGAACAGAGACAAAAGCATGGCATTCTGATGTCAGCAAGCAGACTGGCATCTACAACAAAAAATACAAGGCTAAAAAATCAATTGTAGCCTGTAAGCTAACAATTTTATGGATTATAAAATGGGGTGATTTTTCCTGGACAATCTTCTGATGTCAATGGAGTGCCTCCAGTTCACTGACTAGAGTTTTACACAAATATTGCATTAAATATTGCAGACTAGAGACCAAGCAAAAGCAGAATGTAAAATTAAAACAGTATTAGCTTGACAGCAACAACAATCTTACAGCTTGTATCATAAAATCTCATAATGGGCAGGGACACCTTCCACTAGATCAGGTTGCTCAGAGCCCCATCCAGCCTGGCCTTGAACACTTGCAGGGATGGGGCTTCTCTGGGCAACCTGTGCCACCCTCAAGTAAAGACTTTTTCCCTAATATCTAATCTAAACCTACTCTCTTTCAATTTTAACCCATTCTCCCTTGTCCTTTAAATGCTCTTGCCCCATCTTTCCTGTAAGTTCTCTTCAGCTACTGGAAGGCCACAATTAGGTCACCCCAGAGCTTCTCTTTTCCAGGCTGAACAATCCCAATTCTCTCAGTCTTGATAGAGTTTGTAATACTGTTCCTTAGAAGTCACCTTAGGAGAAAGAACTATTGCCTGGCAGAGGCTTCCAGAGTTGTCTGGCGAGGATCAGGTGTGGGGGGAGCTAAAGCTAAATGAAAAATCTAACAGTCCATTCCTTCTATAGGCTAGGCTACCTTTTCTCCAAATAGTATGTCAAGACAAAAGCTGTGCAGAGACACTGAAGCTGCCTTCCATGCAACTGTAAATGCAGAAAGGACGAAAATGCACTTTGATTAACCAAAGCTTAACAAATCCTCAGAAGGCGGCAGAGGAAGATCAGAATACTGATCATTTGGACTTCAACAACGTGCACGGATCCTTGATGCAGAGCTTCTTATATAACTAGAACACGTTTTCACAGCATTCATAAAACAATTAAGTTCTCAAAAGACAAGGCCACAAAGTCAGCTGTCATCTGGACAACACCATACCCAAATGGGAAAAAAAAAAAGCCCTGCTCATATTTGTTGATAACCATATGTGCCTACAATCTTTGGGGCTGACAAGGTCTGTATTTGTGCTGTAAAACTGGACTCCTTATTCTGCATTCAATTTAATGCAAGCTACACAGAAAGGAGATTTTGCAGCACTGGCAACTTTTAAAGTTCAACGTTCTTTCAGAGTGGTGGCCCTTAAATCAGGAGCCTGTGTCTCTTCTTGGATGTTCTGGCCACTTTGGGAATCAGGAATGCAGAGCCCTGTGGGGGAGAGAGGTCTCCTATTCACTGGAACAGGCCACTGAAGCTCTGCAGCATATGGCAGGATATTCTGAAGCATCCAGGACTAACAGCTGCCTTGCTAAAAATATCAGGACAAAAAAGAAAAGACTAAAAATTAGAGTACGCGTATTATTCTAAATCTTACCCGTAGTCTCAACGATTCCTTCGAGGATGACAACTATTTCAAATTGCTCACTTCTTAGTGATCTTTGTGAGAGACAGAAAAAGGGGCTCTCTGAGGTAATTTCATGACAGATGGTTAAAGGGGAGACTAAAAACAGCTGGTCGGCTCCAGTTCCAAATCCAACATCCAGTTCACACTGGTCTAGTGGCAGAAACTCTCCCTCCGGTGTCTGTCTGGACTAAAGATAAAAAGATGGTTTAGTAATCACCACGTGAGGCAAAACATGAAATCAGTGCAATGAAGTTTAAACCTGCCTCTTCCATGACATTATCATCTACATATATTAGCTCTGGGGTCTTCAGAATGGAATACAAGTAATGCTAAATACGGTGAGGCTGCTGTATAAGAACAATTTTGACTTTTCTTATTGTGCCCTAGGATTCATCACCATCTACAAACTTTACCATGAGTTATATATATGTGTATATACTTCAACAAAAATGTCATGTGCCACACTACATGCCTTGCAATGGACATTCAGCAGGAATATCCTGCAGCAAAAGGTCCTGTTACCAAGGACAAAATCTGCAAGCTGAGCACATTTGAATCTGTTGCTTGAATTCAGGTTTCATTATTATTTCATTAAGACTTTTGTTTGGCAGATGGTATATGATGTACTAACTCAAAGGTAAACATCATGGCAATGGTACAGTATGTCTGGTAAGTGATGTTTCCACAAAACCACCTGAATTGATGCTGATGATGCAGTCATCCCTTGCCAATTTGCATGTACCACCTACTCTAAGCTGACCTTAATAATGAACTTATAATATTATTAACTTAAATGCCCCATTTTTCTTCCCATCATTTCATGGGTCCAATAAAAACACTGATATGATAGCTTCCCTCCACCCCTTAGTGTTCCCTCCAAATTCTCCTGGTGTTCAAAGTATAACTAAAAATTACATCAGTTGGCCAGGCAGCTCCTCAGCTCAGTCTCTGAAGGTCTCTGGTGGAAACTGCCCATTAAAATTAGAAGCTTTGCACAGCCAACACAAAACCTCTTTAAAATCCTTTCTGCTTATTATTTGATTAAAAAGCACTTAACTCTTTAAGAAGACGAGTACTGATTATAAATGGTAGACTATTCTGTATTTACTGAATAATTTTAATGGTGTTGCATTCATATTGACAAATGTATTGGTTCCACTGCTTGGAAACACCATTCCTTGAGGTCAAGTCAAAGGCAGCAGTTCTGCCATCTACTGAAATCCAATTAGTATTATTTTACTAGTCTTTAAAAACACTCCCTAAGCAACTAGTGTATCTTCATATTGTCCTTCCACTTCACATGCATCTTAAAAATGCTGATGTTATAACTGCCTGGTATTTATTGGTGATTACATAACCACTTAGGGAGCTGCCAGAATATTAAATACAATGCATAATTTCATTTATGTGCTGTGTGTTTGTTTTTCTGCTAAGGAAAATAAAAAATTCCTATCTAAAATAACCAAGTTCTCCCTTACACAAGAGGACAAGAGCCAGTTTCTCCACTGCTGATGAAGACAGAGGAAACATCAGCTGGTTTCTCGTAAAAGCATCCTCACCAATTAGTTGTGATTTGAAACATAAAGGACAATGCTATGAAATAAAAATGATCAGAACCACTACACACACCGGTCGTGACGGTCTCTGTTATGGGCAAAGGTGTAATCAAACTATGGCTAAAATATCTTTTCTTCTTTCCCTGAGACAACCTGCAGAACCAAGCTGCAGAACTACACCCCTGCTTTGTTGCCTGGCTGCTGCTCCTTCCGTGGGGGCCCAAATTCCTTGGCTGTGCAGGATCTTTGCTCTTTGCTCCACGGTAACAAGGCTCGACGTGAGCTGCAAGAACCGACATCTAAAACCTCAAACTGTCCCAAAGTTTTATCAAATACATCTACCCAGACAAAAACGTGCGTATTTGCACAAAAACTGCTGCCTGACTGACTTAAGAACTTTGTTTTGATCTACAAACCATTTTTCTCTGTGGAAGAGTCTTCGATCAAATCCATTCAAAAGCAAACAAATCCAGCGAGGATGATTAGAGGTAACAGATCTGGGAGAAAGCAAAAGGTTGTGTTTGAGGTATTCAGTATCTTACACACAGGATTGATTTATGCAGGCCACGGAGAATTTTTAAAAGAAACTTTGTTAAATAAAAAAGAAATTAACCTGAATGAAGATAGCTTAATAGCCCCAATATGTCAGGCTCCCAGCCAGTGACCTTTGTTGCACATACACAGCTTTACTCAAAGGATCACAAAACAAGGCAGAGGACTATAAACTGTCAGCAATAAGTCTGGAAGGAACACTTGTGATTCTTTATTTTGACTCATATAACACAGAGCCAAGCAAATTTCACAGATCAATACAATGCTTGAACAAGGGCACAACTACTTAGAAATGCCCCAGCTTGCATTTTAAATGTGGTCAAAGGCAGAGAATCTAAAGGTTTAGATGAATTTCTCCAAAGGTTAAAAAAAAAAAAAAAAACCCATGTCTTTAACTTTCTGCCACTGGATCTTTGTTTTGTTTTTTATTACCAGGCACACTTCCACTGCATCATCACTTAGTCTGTTTTAGTGAACAAACACCTTATGTCCTTCAAATCTTCACTCCTATCCTGTATTCATTCTTATTGCTTTTCTAATCCCTGTTGTTTATGCACATTCTCCTTTAACTGGACATGATGCAGTTTTACTTTTATTAACCCCCTGTCACTTCACTCCTTAGAGAACTCGCATAGTTATGTTTTGATACCCAGGTGGACTCATTAAGCATTGGAGTATAAAAAAAATTGGGATGCAAAAGATGCAGCACCATCGAGCTTAATATTGTAGTATGTTGTAGAGAACCTCAGGAATCTGGAAAATGCTAAAATGGTATGTGGTCATTTGCCAAACAGTACTAGGGTATTTTCAGTACTGGCATTTGAGAGGAATCATCTCACCTATCTGGGCTTCAGCTCCACACTTGGACTATCAGCTTGCAAGAAGTATTTTTAATACTATTGTTAGCACATGTTGAAAGCAGGCTATGATGATTTTACAGTCCTCAGCTTCCTGAATCAAAACGTCCTACACCGTCTGAAACACTACACAGAGCACTTTACACTCCAGCACTACCATGTTTATCCATCACACCTGTAATCCCATCAAGAGAAGATAAGAATAGCTGGCGTAATTAAGTTTTAAAAAATCAATACTGATCACCACACTGCCTGAGGCACATGAATAAGGTCCAGAAACCAACAGGCAGAAAAATAAAGCTCACTGTGACACTGAAAAGACCAGGATCTGAAACTGCAGCGTTTTCAGCAGCCAGTTCAAACAGCTTTTTACTGTTTCTCGCCCCAGGATTTTGCTTTTTCCTGCTTTTACACTACTCAATGTAAATTAGAAAGACTCAGGTTCCTGGAAAAGTTTTTGCTGAGACACACACAGTTAGTTTTGTAACTGTTCTCCAAACTCACCACGACCCAGCCTAAAAAGAGCCCTGGACTTCTGCACGACATCACTACACTGTGCTGCTGCACAGTCCCTGGACACAAAGGAAAGCCAGCACAGCGTGGTGACAGTGGTGGCACCACTGCAATCTCCTGAGTATCTTAGGGCATACATCACACTGTCAGTAAATGCCAGTCAGACACACTCAGGTTGGTGTACTTGCTTTACAAAGGGTAAAGAGCTCCACTGGTCCAACCAAAACACTACATTCACTACTAAAAAATCTCCTATGTCAAGGACAGAAGTGTGATAAGACACTTGAACAGCCACTATTGACTGCTAGAATGATGTGTCCAGTTCAACAAAACGAGGAGGATTTACAGAAAGCCACAGGAACTAATACCACGCCTTGCAGTGAGGACTGAGGGGGCAGCTGGTGCACATTCACTTTGAATTTTTCCACTGTTCATAGCTTATATTTGCCAAAGGTTGCAAAGCAGCTTTAAGACAAGTCATGGGCATGACAACTGTACCAAAAAAAAATCAAGAACTGCTCACTGATTCATTGTCTAGCCTATCCTAAGCTGGCTATCCTAAGAGAAACTGGTCAAGCAGAACCATCAATGTCCCTGAGTGTTCTGTCCCAATCATTTGCATATCAGCATTGTGTAGCAATAGATTGTCAGCAGAAAGCACACCTTGTATATTCAGTGTCTTATTTCAAAAAGAATTTATAATGAGTTACCATCACTGTAAAAACAAAACTATGACACTGCTTTTATTCCACTTTGACTTGCATTCCAGCTTGAGAGGAGGCTTTCTGCTAATTTTGAATAGTTAGAGAGCAACAAAAAACATGGTTTAGCTGGCATTCCAATTCCTACAAATATTGCTCCAGTGTAACTCCTGACAGCTTGTTCCCATATATATCCAACATTTTTTTGAATCTTAGTGGATTCTCCATTTTAAATGGTATTCTGCACCAAGAAAAATTAACACCTCAGTCAAGTGTTCTGCCCAGAACAGAAGGAAAACAGCCTTCCATATTTACCATTGCCCAATCACCTACTGCTTCATGGTTATTTCTGCAGATTATTAAAAAGGACAGTTGCTCCAAAGAGTGGGTTACCAGATAGAGTATGAACATTTATAACACTCAGATACGACATTCTGAAATTAATGTCATCACTGGGATCCCACTTCTGACAGTCCTCCCCAGGTGTGCTCCCATGACAAGACACAGCTGCTGAGAGCTGCTGAGAGCTGCTGTGTTGCTCCACCTCAGCAATTCTATACAGTGGTTTTCTTCCATTCAGCTCCACCTGATTTATCTTCCAGACCTTTGTGCCTGCCAAATTCCACTGTCTCCTTATAATTTATTTGTTTTGTTATGATCTTTGAGTTTCGGTTTTCTTGCGTTCTGAATTATGCTAACCATCATCAGTGATTATTAAATAGGTACCGTGACAATCAAAGGGTCTTTCCACTAAAGCACCTGTACAATCCCTCTGAAATGCTAGGAGGTCACTAGCTGGAACATTGGGATAAAGCTCTGCAAGTTCAAGATCACCAAGTTTCCCCAAGGGGAAGAGGAGGTCAAGGCTGATATTTGTCCTTAATCAATTCTTTCTTTCCAGCCATCACCTGCTAAGGAGCATGCCTTAGTACCCTTCCTGCAGCTATCCTGCATCCTGACACATCCATCCTTCCTGCCAGCCTCACAAGCCACCGGAATGCCCCTGGGAGGTCTCTGATGAGGCTGTTTTTCCCTGTGCCAGCTTGGCTCTTCCATGGCTCCTCCTGTGGCCAGCCACTGCAACTTCTTCACAGTCCTTCACACTGCCCCTCTCACTCACACCGAGGGACAGGGCAGCTCTCCCTGGGCCAGGGCAGAGACCAGCAGCAGCAGGGGCTGCACAGGAGAAGCCCCACGCTACCTGCACTAGGGACACACAGGAGAAGCCCCACGCTACCTGCACTAGGGACACAACGCTGCTCACGCTGCCCACTGCCACCCGGCTGCCCTGTGCCACCCGCTGTCGTGCCAGCCCTTACCTTGATCAGCTTGCAGCGGATCTGGGCAGACACCATGTGGCTGTTGCGGAGGTTGCCGACACGAAACATGAGGCAGAGCCTCCCATCCCGCTGCGAGATGACCGCGGCGCGGCTGAACATGAGCGTCTCGGCTCGCTTCTTGGGCTGGGACATCTTGATGAACATGCAGCCGATGAGGAACGCATCGACCACGGAGCCCAGCAGCGACTGGAAGAGGAAAAGCACGATGCCCTCGGGGCAGCGCTCGGTAATGTAGCGGTGCCCGTAACCGATGGTGGCCTCGGTCTCTATGAAGAAGAGGAAGGCGGAGGGGAAGTTGTACACGTTGGCCACGCAGGGGCTGTAGGTGTCATCGTGCGCCTGGTGCAGGTCACCCCGCAGGTAGGCAATGCCCCACCACATCGAGGCCATCACCAGCCAGGCCACCGTGTAGGTCAGCAGGAAAATGAGCAGGTTCCAGCGCCACTTGAGGTCCACCAGCGTGGTGAAGAGGTCGGAGAGGTAGCGGCTGCTCTCGCCGCCCAGGTTCCCGTGCTGCACGTTGCAGCGCCCGTTCTTGTCCACGAAGCGCTGCCGCTCCCTGCGGGCGCTGCAGCGAGCGGGGCCCACGGCCTGGTACTCGTCCCCGAACTTCCTGCGCACGGCCGACATGCTGCGGGCCGCCGAGATGCTCCGCGGGCGCGGCGAGAACGCGGCGGGGCGGGAGGGGCGGCCGGACCCCGCTGCCCGCGCGCAGCAGCCGCCGCCGGGCGCGGCGCCGGTGCCCGGGGCACGGGGCGCACCCGGATGCCGGCGGAGCGGGGGTCGGGAGCCGCCAGCGCTGCCCGCTCGCCGGCAGCACCGGGGGAAGATGCGGAGCGGCCGCGGCCTGACGGGGCACACGCCGAGCGGCCGGAGGGGTGAGCCGGGCCGGGCCAGGGAGGGTACAACGGCGAGGGCGGCCGGCCCAGCCCCGCGAGCTCCGGCGGTCAGGGCGGCGGGGCCCGGGGGAAGCCGCAGCGGGCTGCGCGCACCTCCGACCGCAGCTCGGCCGCCCTCCCGGCCGCGGGCAGGTTGGGGGCGGGAGGGAGGCGGCGCGTAGAACGGCTCCGAGGGCGCATGAGCGGGGTGCGCACCGGGATGCGGGGACGCGAGTGTCGGGAGCCGCTCTGAGGCCTCCGGAGCAGCCTCCGGCCCCGCGCAGGCCCGCACCCGCAGGTAAGGGCGGCCCGGCGGCAGCGCTGGTCCCGGGGCGCGGTGGCAGCGCCGGCAGAGGCGGCCCCATTGTTCGGCCGGGCGGGACCGGGCCGGGCTCCCGGCGCCGCCTCCGAGGTGCGGGCCCGGCGTGACCGGAGCCCGCGGCTCCGCTGGGTCTGCCCGGCGGGCTCGGGCCGAGCGCGGGGACACTCGGGGCCGTGCCCGGCGGGGGCCCCGCGGAGGTGCGGCTGGGGCGGCGCTCGCCAAGCGCGGCCTCAGGGCTGGGAAGCGGGTCGGGAAGGGAACGTGTGGCTGCTGATGTGCGGGAAGCCCGGCCCGGGACGGAACTTCGCCCCGTGCTCGGCTGAGCCGTGAAGGGGTCCGGCCGCACAAGCCTCGGTGCCCGGGCTCGGTGGAGCGCACGAAAAGCGCTCTCCCTGGAGTGGGAGAGCCCTGCCCAGGGTGCCGGTCCGGCCTCGCCCCGCTCCGCCCCGCCGGTGTCCGCCAGGCCCCCGGAGCGCCCATCGCGGGCCGTGCCCCCGGTGTGGGGCGGCGGGGGAAGAGCCCGGCCCCGCGGTGCCCAGCAGGGAACGCTGGGCTGTCCTCTCCGTGCTTCGGTCGGCCGTGGGAGTAGCCGCTCGTTTAGTGCTGCAGTAGGTGCAGTACCCAGCGAAAGACTTGTCTCGCTCAGATTTGGACGCGAGGAGAAATCCTGTGTAATGGCCATCGGGACCCGGGCCCCGTTTCCTACAGGTGTATTGTCTGACCCTATCGCTGGGGTGATCTTCTCCCGGCAAGATGTTAAACTGCTTTCTGAAATGGGATCTGCTGCTTTGGATGATATTAATCTGGATTACAGAAGCTTTGTGTTGTATTAAGCTGTGAACCACAATAGGTTTGTTTTCCAAGGTAATGGGGATATGCCAAATCACATTATGCTTCTCTTTAATCCCCTACTTTGACACCATGTAGAGCATCAGAGTGAGATTTCAACACTCAGTTCATTTGAAAACTCACTTAGGTTTTGATACCCAGGTGGACTAATTAATTGTAGTGGTAGAAAATACGAGGTGCAAAACAGAGGTGACTGTTGAGCTTAACATTTCAGTATATTGTAGAGTAACTCGGGAATCTGGAAAATTCTGACTAGGTATATGCTAATTTGCCATGCAATACTGTGGTATTTTCAGGAAGCTATTTAAAAAAATGTTGAATTGGAAAACCATCAAACTTGCAATCAAAATATCAGAGATTTATCTGCGAGTAGAAACACAAGGAGCATCCTTTATTGCATTTAGCAAAGAGTTGGAGTATCACACATTCCTTTGTAATACTTTATGTGTGCTGCTATGGCAGGGTTTTTTTAGTGCAAATATTTGTCTGATGAATTTTTGTAAGCATGAAAAAGATTTTAAGTGCCGTGGAATACAGTGTTTCATCTTGGTAATTATAAGCATAAATTCAATTTTCCTTTTTTTTAAAACAATTGCTCTGGAGTCATTTGCTCTCAGTGACAAGAGAAATCTGCACTAAAAGCATCTAAAGCAATTTCTGAGCAATGGAGAAGTAGCCTGACTTGTTGAAACATTCTTAGGAGCTGTGACCAAGGTTGATAGAGTGACAGTCTTACTATTAGCTTTAATGGAATTGTAGTATGGTGTTCATCAGAATTCCAGGGGGACATACATTCCTTTGAGATGTGCTTTTAGGAAGCCACAGAACATCTTGTGATGTGGCATCTTCCTGCCTGCTCTCTCTGTTTCTGCATCTGATGTTTATCAAGGCTTTTAAACATCCATTCTCTTCTGTCTTTGCAGTTACTTAGACCTGTGAAAACTACCTCTCTAGAGGGATGCTCAGCCTTGTCTGAGATGCAATATGGTTATCGTATAACCTGGTCTTTTTCATTGTTTTACTTGTGTAGAATAACTGCAGAACTCTGCTCGATTTAGGTTAAACTGAGCATTTGAGGGAAAGATGTACTAGGAATTCCCTATTTTTACCTGCTTGCCATTTTTCTCACGTGCTTGAGCTTAGGTGCTATGTTTGCTCCTTTCAGGACTGCCTCTGAATCACAGTCCAGAAAGAAGAAACAATTGTGTGGATTTAAGCTGAACATTTGCCTCTGAGATTAAGAACAAAGCCATGCCAGTGCTTTCTGAAGACTCAGGTAACTCATCTGCATGTTTTCAACTGAACAGTGACTGAAATCTTAGTGTATGTGTTTCACAGAGGAAATCAGTTCAAACTGGCAAGTTGTTCTAGAACACAGGGTAATTAACATGACGGGGAAACTTAAAAGGTAATGTTTTTTCAAAAATACATATTGCTTTGGTAGCTTTTGCCTTAGCATGATAACTGTTACATCTTAAGCTGTGTTTGCCACTTATGGAGGCAAAATGAGTGGTAGATAAACACAAGTCTCTGCAAACTTGATAATCACCAACATGGTACCCAAGTGAGTGTAGTAGCTGTTGAGTCTGCAGTAGAAGGTCCCATGAGAAATGCTGTGTACAATGTTTTCGTTCTGTCCTGAATCTGAATTTAGGATTGCACGAAACGTTGGCCCTTTTGACATCTCAGCTAAGACCCGACTCAAATCATAAAGAGGAAATGGGATTCCTTAGGGATGTCTTCAGTGAAAGGAGTCTCAGCTACCTCATGAAGGTAAAAGTTCATTTAAGTATGTACATTTCCTTACAGTTTACTTATTCTCTGTATTTATCAACTTATTCTCTTGATTTATCAACCATTTACTTTGCCAAAGCTGCTTTTTTTTTAAGAATTCCATACCAACCAAAGTATGTGTGTTTAAGCACAAACATTTGACAATTAACATATTTTGTTCAGGAAGAAACATCTCTGCTCTGATTGCTAAAATGAAGATACAGTGCCCTGTAACTAAAAAGTAGTCTGAGGTGGCTGCATTTTTTTTTCCTTACACTGCTAAAGTCTTAACAGATTTTCTGGCTGTCTGAAACTATCACGAGTAAAAAGAAAACTAGAAGACTCCTAAGCAAAAAAAAGTAACCCCAAGAGAGATTATTTTCCTGACACATCTCAGAAAAATTGTATTCCTTAAATAGAAAAATATTCTGGTGTAGGTATATTTAGAAAGTTTCGAATCTCTCTGTAGCAATATCTCTGAATAATCTTTTTCAGATTCATGAAAAACTCCGTCATTATGAAAGGCAGAGTCCAACCCCTGTTTTACATAGTGCAGCAGGATTAGTTGAAGATGTAAGTCAAAAATTCCTCTCTCCTGCTTTTCCTGTTATTTAAGCCTGCTTTTCTAATACATCAGAGCTCTGCAATTGGATCTTGTTTGGTGGACTCCTTTAATTTTGGGGCTGTAAATTTTTATTTTGAAGGTAATAGAAGAGTTGCAGACTGCACCAGTGAATAACGAAGAAAAAGAGCTACTTCAGCTGTTGTCAACACCTCATCTCAGGGTAAAAAAAAACACACTGGGGACTTTAACAAAATCCCTTTGCACAATTGCAATGGAACATCTTGTAGCAGAAAACTTTTATTGAAGTGTCCCTAAGAGAAAAGGAAAAACCTCTTGCAAACTGTAGTTCTGTTCCACTGGGATTTCCTGCACAGGTTGTGGGATGCAAAGGGAATTGAGAAGACACAGCCTTTCCTGCATAGTGCATCAGGCTGTCTTCCCTCTGTCCCCTCCTTACTATTTTCTGAGGGAGCAGAATAGAAAAGGAAACCTTTTTGCTTCTCATAGTCCACTCAGGTTTTTTTTAGGCTGAGCTTTGTTGTTGCCTGGATTTATTATAAGTATCAACATATACCAGTATATAGTTTACCTGATGGTTACTGTAATTGTTGAATCTTTTCTGGAGGTTTTGTGGTGAGGGTGGAAAGGGGGAGATGTAAGTTTGCTGGAATATTGGAAACATGAGAACTGGGAGCTGTAATATTGCTACATGACATTCCTATTTTTTATTTCCTTTATGCAGGCAATGCTTGTAGTACATGACACTGTAGCACAGAAGAACTTTGATCCAGTCCTTCCACCTCTACCTGATAACTTTGATGATGATTTTGATGAGGAATCGGTGAAAATTGTTCGGCTAGTGAAAAATAAAGAACCCTTGGTACATATTAGATAACCCATTCCTAGTCATAGAACTCTGTAGTGCAAAAGTGTTATTGTGAGTATAGAGGAGACACTTGAGGATGCTGTCAAATAACCAGCAAAAACTAGGAGAGTGTTCTGAAGCCAGTAAAGTAACATAAAAAGAAAACTTTTGGTAAATACACCTTCACAATTTTGCATTGGGATGCTTTGTGGACATGGGTTTATAATACCAGTTAACACAGGGAACACTGTCTCTGAGGAAATTGTATGTGTTGAAGTGATTATGCTTATTATATGTATTAATTGTTTTCATTCTAACATTCAGTGACTTAATATATTCATTTGCATTAAAGTCAGTGACATGTGGTAAGAGTATGTTTTGATACCTGTATGTGAA